GGCACCGGCGGCTCCGAGCTCGCAGTCGGTGCTGGACCAGCAGCGGGAGATGGCCCGGAAGAGGGAGCAGGAGAGGAGGCGCCGGGAAGCGGTGAGGAAAGGGTTAAATCCCCGTGATTCCGGGGGAAAACGGGGAAAAAACACCTGGGAAAAATGGGGAAAAATCACCTGGGAAAAACGGGGAAAAATCACCTGAAATTCCATAAAAAACGGGGAAAAATCACCTGGGAAAAATGGGGAAAATCACCCTGAAATTCCATAAAAAATGGGGAAAAATCACCTGGGAAAAACGGGGAAAAATCACCTGGAAATTCCATAAAAAATGGGGAAAAATCACCTGGGAAAAATGGGGAAAATCACCTGGGAAAAATGGGGAAAATCACCCTGAAATTCCATAAAAAATGGGGAAAAATCACCTGGGAAAAATGGGGAAAAATCACCTGAAATTCCATAAAAAACGGGGAAAATCACCTGGGAAAAATGGGGAAAATCACCTGAAATTCCATAAAAAACGGGGAAAAATCACCTGGGAAAAACGGGGAAAAATCACCTGGGAAAAATGGGAAAAATCACCTGGAAATTCCATAAAAATGGGGAAAAATCACCTGGGAAAAATGGGGAAAATCACCTGGAAAAATGGGGAAAATCATCCTGAAATTCCATAAAAAACGGGGAAAAATTACCTGGGAAAAATGGGGAAAAATCACCTGGGAATTCCATAAAAATGGGGAAAAATCACCCGGGAAAAATGGGATAAAAACACCTGGAAATTCCTTAAAAAAATTGGGAAAAGCATCCCAAAAAATGGGATAAAATCACCTGGATATTCCATAAAAAAATGGGATAAAATCAGCTGGGTAATCCATAAAATAAAATGGGATAAATTCACCTGGATATTACATATTATTCACCAAAAAAATCCCCCAAAAAATTACAAAAAAAAACCCCAGAAATTCCTGGGAATTCTGGGAATCTCCTCCCCAAAGAAAGAGAAGGGCGGGGGGTGAAGAATTCCCGGAGTTTTTTCCCGATTTTTCCCGTTTTTCCCCCCCTGGCAGATGGCGGCGACGATCGACATGAACTTCCAGAGCGACCTCCTGGCCATTTTCGAGGAGAATCTTTTCTAGGAGAGGCGATTCCGGCCGGGAATTTGACTCTTTCCCAAAAAAAAAAAAATACCACAAAA